GGGCTCCAATTACAATCGGGACAACACACGATTTCTTTTTCCACAATCACTCAACTTCAATTTGCAAGTCCCGGTACTTTCTGATATTTTCTTGCCGTTTATCTTCAATTCGTGCATCTCCAGGTATTGCAATGTTAATGAACCATACTTTTTTCTTTTCAACTATTATGTCAGGTGTGTTGTGGGCCAAGTGCCTGTCAGTCTGAATTCTGAAGTCCCACAAGATCTTGACTTTCTCATTCTCTAAAACCTTCTCAACCTGATGGTCCCAGTGGTTTTTGCTGTACTCAAATCCAAACTTTTGGCACAATTTCCAGTGAATAATCTTAGCAACAACAACAACAACAACAACAATAATGAGAAAGACAAGACAGTCTACCACTTGATCAGTGGGTGCAGCAAAATTTCACAAACTGACTACCTACAACGCCATGACCGCGTTGCTAAGATCATTCACTGGAAATTGTGCCAAAAGTTTGGATTTGAGTAGAGCAAAAACCACTGGGACCATCAGGTTGAGAAGGTTTTAGAGAATGAGAAAGTCAAGATCTTGTGGGACTTCAGAATCCAGACTGACAGGCACTTGGCCCACAACACACCTGACAAGAATAGTTGAAAAGAAAAAAGTATGTTTCATTGACATTGCAATACCTGGAGATGCATGAATTGAAGATAAACAGCAAGAAAAAATCATGAAGTACAGACGTGAACATTCTGACTACAAAAAACCACCCTACTTGGAACAACTTATATCCTCCGACGTTACCTTAACAATTCCTAGGTCCTTGGTTGGGACTCGAGCTGTTGAGCCACCAACCAGCCCCAAAGGTTATGAATCTCACGAAAGATTAACCACATAATAATAATATAGCAATAATATAAGAATAATATAATCTGAAAAGACTCTAACTAATCCTGACCTTGCTGAGCAGTTAACACATTCCTGCCTATTTTGCATAATTTTTTTGCAGCTATTATCCCTACCCAGTTGTTAAATGCAACCTGTACAGAGGCTGATCACTGTACAGAGGCTGTACAGAGGGTGAACCCAACAAAGTTCTTCTATTATACTTTCAAAACATGAATCTATTTCTACAAATGCTATTTGTGAAAGATGTGTTTTCCATCTAACTAAGAAGTAAAAGAATCCTGTTCAGAGAATCAGGACATTGGACATAATGCTCTTCCCTACTCCAGTGAAATTAGTTTTTTTTTGTTTTTCAGAACAGTGTATGTATTGAGAAGGCTGATTTGCTTTATCTTCCTAAGTTTTAACATCAGGCTATATCTTGTGAAAGTCAGTAAAATCGTAGGCCTATTTTGTAGAGTACCGAGAAGGTTCAGCTCTGCTATTTCAAGTTACTGTGAGTTTTCCTTTACATATGTCAGCATTTCTCCATTCAAATTAAATGTATGGAAAATGAACACATGGAAAACAAATAATTTTCCCAATACAGGTAGTCCTTGGTTTATGCATTATGATGGTTTTGCAGGGGTAAAAAAAAAATGAAGACATGTACTCCATCATGCTTCAAATAGAGATGGTGGGTAGAGTATAGCGGAAGAACAGATAGAAAAAGTAAGAAACATAGGATGGATTATAAAAAAAGGCAAAACTATGGTTAGAATGGAATGGGAATGGAATGTAAATGATTTGTGGGGGAGGGAGGTTGTATGTTAAAAAACGTTTTGAGAAAGATGAATTTTTGGAATGCACAGATTATGTTCCAGGTGTGAAAAAGAACAATTGGTTGAATTTGAAAAAAATGTAGGTCGTAAGCAATGTGTTTTGGAGGCTTAGACCATTATGTTGTGGTAGGGTTCCTGGAAAAATCGCTTCCTTTTTTATTTACCTGTTTTTCATTTTTGTAAAGAGAGTTTCTGGTGGAACAACATCTGGATTCATCAGAATGAGGTTTACCTTGGGTCTAAGACCCCAGCTCTTCTCCACATTATGTTTCTTTGCAGAACTTGCACGTCTGAGGTAGTCATTGTGTGATGGCACTGTGCTACTTTCAAAATTCTAGATATGTCCAGTATCTTAAAAGTGTGGCAGGCCTTTGAAATATGCATATGAATACTTCTAAAAGCAACCTTTAGTCATTCATTTAGTTCAGAGATTAGTAGCAGTAATGAATTGTTTTATATTGAAAATATGGCTATGGGACATATTTGCTTGTTGTCACATGTTTCTCATGTATCAGGCAACCAGGTTTTCAGGCATCGATAGCAGAATATTGCAAAACAGAAAGAACTGTGGGATTTTTTTTTCTTGAGAAGTTATCAATGGGACACCATATTGATTGCATTTGGATTAAGTACATGGCATGCTTACAAAAACACTGACGTTCTCAAAAAAGGTTAGGTGCTTTCTATTGTTTAGTCACAAAAGATAGCTATTTATTTATAATAATGTTACATAGATACATGGCTAACTATATGGATCCATAAAACCATTGTAAAATGCTGCAAGAAATTGGATTCCAGTTGTTTTCATATGCAAAGGAATAATTTTCAAAGGCAAGAATGAGAATTGGATATTGAAGTACCATTTCTGCTTTTGGAAATCATCTGCATCTGTTTACATATTCATAACAAAGCAAGTGTCCTTTGACTATTGCTCTGTTAAAAACTCCCAAGTTGAAAAGGTTCAGTAGTTCTATACCTAAAAGAGCAATATATTCCCATTTTAGTATCATGAAGTTACAGGTAAGGAAGCATCTTCTCCTGTTTGTATCCAAAGCAGTAACTTGAGAAGGTAGACTGGCATCATATTAATTTGCCACTATTTCTGTGATGTGGTGTCTAAATTGTGGGATTGTTTATTGTCCTTTATCTAAGGCAGATTAGAAAACATTGCTTAGAAGTTATAACAATTCATTCTACATAATATTTGTTTTAACAGTTACAGTTAAAATGTGTATTTGTTTAAAAATAGTAGTGTAATACATATATAAAGATTAGTGCTTTTAAACAATGCAAGGACTTGTATTGAATGTTAGATATGTATTTATCTTCCCATTCAACATGCTGTACAGTGTACAATGCCTTTCCTTCCATGTAGGTATCTCTGTGTTACCGGTGTCCTCACATATGAAGAATCTCTCCACCAATATAAACAGCAAAAGGCAAACTCAGCCAAGCTATACTTTGACTTCAAGGTTGGCTGCCAAGCAGCAGAAAATTAAAGAAAACTGGAAGACAGATGGGCTGTGCATGGATGAAGAAGAGGGTTTTCAGGCTGCATCCCTGTTGCAGAAACACAGCGAGTGTGAGAAGCCGCCAGGGAAACGTCAGTGTAAAACAAAACATTTGGCACTGCAGGAAAGGAGAACAAGGTCATCCTTGACTGGAGATGACATAACAGATATTGAAAGCATTGAGGAGAAGGTATCTTTTTATCATGACTCAGTTGCCATTACTATCAGATTGATAAAACCATCATATTAAATTCTTAAACATCTCCTTTTTGCATTAACTTTGAGTTCATTCAGCTTTCTCCTAGGACAAATTGCATGATTACATAGAAATCTTGTACATCGATATAGAACTTTAAAGATGTAATTGAGAAGATGGCACTACCGTTTTTTTTAAAAAAAAGGAAAGATGAGGGGGATGAGGTATGGAATTCAGTGAAGATTTTGACAGGTTAATGAGAATCTGAAATCAACTAGAGGCTCTTTCAGATTGAGATTCTTCACCACTCAAATCACTTAGGTGCAAACTGTATGATTGCCTGCAGTAGCAGCAGAAGACTCCTCATTATTGCCTTTTTTCAGCCCTCACAGCTGCAGATTGCAAGTACACCTCAGGAGATTGCCCCAAGTCGTCCCATGCCCCCAGAAGCTCGAAGACTTATTGTCAATAAGAATGCTGGGGAAACACTTCTGCAAAGGGCAGCAAGACTGGGATATGAGGTAAGCATTGTTTCTGAAGATCACTACTTTGAATTAGAATATAGAAGAAGTTTGGTGTCACATATGATTCTAATTGCTCATATGTTTAAGAATCTGTATTCCCTCTCAATATGATGAAATAACTTGAGACCCTCTGCTTTGCTTTTTCATTCAAGCATGTAATTAATGCATTTTGTGAGTGGGTTTAGGAGAAAAAACATACAAACCCATGTAATTTAATAACCTGCAACTTAAATTAGGTACCTGTCATTGCCAAAATGAATTCAGAGTATGGTGTGCTTTGCAAGATTGGAATCTTGTATAAAGTAAGATAAAGGATAGGATAGAGTTAAGAGATCTATATATCTTTGCTACATTTATAAAGGATTAGTCATTTGCCTTATTTTCACAGTGTGAGAGCCTAAGCATGCTGTATTTTAAGGTTGCTTTAAACATTGCATTATTGGTACACTGTATATACCGTATTTTTCGGAGCATATGACGCACTGGAGTATAAGACACACCAAGATTTTGAAGAGGCAAATTAAAAAAATTTGCAGACCTCCCCAAAATGGCTCTTTTTTTGCAAAAATGGCCCCATTTTTCGTCCAAAAAAGGCCATGCATAGCCTTTAGGAAGCTTGTAGAGTGCTTCCGGGGGTTGGGGGGGGCAGAATGAGGAAAAATGTCCCATTTTTGCTCATTTCTGTCCTCCCCCAACCCCCAGAAGCACTCTGGAAGCCTCCTAAAGGCTATGCACGGCCATTTTGGTGAAGGGGGCAGGGTTTCAGGAGGCCAAAAATGCTGTATTCAGTGTGTAAGACACACCCAGATTGTCACACCACCCCCCTTTTTAGGGAAAAAGGTGCGTCTTATTTGGGAGTCATTTCACACTTTTGACAAATCTAGAGTCCTTGGAGCCAGTTAGTCTTAAGAGATACACATTGCAATGGACTATGGATTCCACTCATAATGTGAAAATAAGATATTTGAAGTGTGTTTGTCTCTCTGTGTGTAAATTTTCTACATTTTAAGGCATTGGTCATGTTTTGTGAAAATGATAAATGTCAAGTTGGACAAAGTCCTGATATAATTTATTTATTTAATGTTTTAATTGAAACTCTGATGCAGCCAAAAATGGCAGAAAAGAGGTTATATACATCTTCATTATACCTTCATCATTATTTCATACCTAGGATTTTAATTGTAAAAAATGACTTTCTCTTGCTCTGAGGAGAGGTTTGTTATGAAAGCCTACATTGAGAGGCTAGGTAATGTAGCAAACCTAGGACCAAATATTTTGTGACACAAAATATCCAGCTACCTGTGTGGCAATGTGGTCTGACACCTTACCAATGCAAAGGTCCCATGAAAAATATGTTTCTGGCTTTAGATTTATTGGGTTGTGTAGCAATCATTTTTCTTAGCTATAATTAAATGTTACTATATGATTCATTTTATCAAAAAGAGGAAAGGGCAAATCTGAAAAGGAGGGAAAGAAATATAAACCCCTGTTGTATTTAAACACATACTAGCAGAGACTGAAATCTTGGTAATGGTTTAATTTTATCCTAATAAGGCAATATATCCAGAATATTTAAATTTTATAAATTTGTCTATGTTAAATCAAGCAGGACTGCTAAGCAATACAAGAAGTCTCAGTGATTTACCTAATTGACTGCTTACCAAACTAGCAATAGCAGTTAGACTTATATACCACTTCGTAGGGCTTTCAGCCCTCTCTAAGCGGTTTACAGAGTCAGCATATCGCCCCCACAGTCTGGGTCCTCATTTCACCCACCTCAGAAGGATGGAAGGCTGAGTCAACCTTGAGCCGGTGAGATTAGAACCGCTGAACTGCAGATAACAGTCAGCTNTTCCCCAGACCTGAATCCAATTGAGCACATCTGGGACCTCCATCCACCAACGCCTCGTTGCACCACAGACTGTCCAGGAGTTGGGGGATGCTTTAGTCCAGGTGTAGGAGGAGATCCCTCAGGAGACCATCCGCCACCTCATCAGGAGTATGCCCAGGCGTTGTAGGGAGGTCATACAGGCACCCGGAGGCCACGCACACCACTGAGCCTCATTGTCTCAAGTCAATAATAAAATAATAAGGAAATTCCAATAGATAGAGTGGTTTACATGTTATTTCACAGTGGATTTCCATTTGGTTCTAGCAGGCACAGAGGAATGGTGATGCATCTTGCGAATACAGTAGAAGCAAGGGGGGGGGATAAAAAAATGATGGTTCCCTGCCTTATTACTTTTGATACGTGGCACAAAACTGAAATACAGAAAATTTTGCATGTCATTGATTAACATATGATGCAATGAAAGAGGTTTGCATAAATAGAAGTAAAACTAAATATACTCTTAAAAGTCTGAAGAGATTTCTGCCCCAAAGAAAATTTCCACTATATATCTATATCTATGTATGTATTTCTGTCTGTCCGTCTGTCTTTCTTTCTTTCTAAAACCTGCATCCACATTGTTTCCTCTGTTAAAGTGAAAAACAATTTTTCCTTGTAAATTAATTTACTCCACTATCCTTCTACATTTATTTGTATGGTAACTCTTGTGAAATTGTTAAATATCTTGAGCACCAGTTTTGTTTGAGATATCTCAGTCAGTCTTCCTTCTGGGCTAATAACTGGCTTTCTTTTTCAACCATTTGACTTTCGCTGAGATGAGAACTGTGTAATAGCTTCCTTCTTTCCTTTGTAACTTGCTAATAGTCCAATCAGAGAAGTATTCCCAGAATGTTAAAAGTAAATGATTTGCATTTTTTCACCAGAACAAACAATTTGCTGTTTTCTTCTTTTTCAGGAAGTGGTTCTATATTGTTTGGAAAACAAAGTCTGTGATGCAAATCATCGTGACAATGCTGGTTATTGTGCCCTACATGAAGCCTGTGCCAGAGGTTGGCTGAGCATTGTGCGACATCTCCTAGAATATGGAGCAGACGTCAACTGCAGTGCGCAGGATGGAACTAGGTTAGCAATTCTAGTTAAGCTAAATCTAAATCTTCTGTGCTTCAGTATTGCATTAATATATAGTGGGATTACTGTTACACCTAAATTGTAATCTTGTTTAGAGAAATGGTATATTTCTCCCAAAAGGTTTATACTGTTTACACTAGTTGCTTTGGTCCTTGACTACTATTCAAAAGTTGATATGATAACATGGTGTCACTACTTGGTATTTTTTGGCTGCAAGTCTATATCATCAAAAGCAAAGAATCTTTTGATGGTGGTGGTTGTTGTCATTGTTCTTGTGTGTTTACTCCTAATAACTGCCTGGACAAGCTCCTGCAGTTTTTCATGACTAGATTCAGAAGTGGTTTGCCATTGCATGCTTCCTATGGTTGAGAGAGAGAATGATTGGCACAAGGTCAGACAGCTAAGGTGGGACTAGAATTCACTATTTCCAGGTTTATTACTCCCTTAAATACTAAAAAAAATAAATACCAAGTTTAGGCAACACTAAAATTCAAGTTTTTACTAATCATAAGAAACAGGCAGTAAACATGCTTTCACACAGTTTTTTTAATGTTTAGATCATTCCTTTTACATTACTATTCACTAAACTTCATATTTTGTTATGCAAAGTTCATCTTTTCTAAAGCAGTTTAGTTGTGTTTATTTTTTAAAAGTTCTGTAATGATGATGGGTATATTCTTTGAGTTCTTCTTTTTGAATGTTTTATCACTTATCACCTTATCTGGTAGTTCTAAATTAGCATGTCTGGATGCCATTGGCATTTAAAGCCGAGGTGGCGCAGTGGTTAAATGCAGCACTGCAGGCTACTTCAGCTGACTGCAGTTCTGCAGTTCNCCGGAGCGGTGAGACTCGGCAGCCATCTCCCATTCTCACGCATGCGCAATTAAAGAGTGAGAAATGGGAAAGGAGTGGAATAAACTGGGCAACCGGGAAAAAGAAAATAAGTTAGCAGTGTACACCTAGGGAGAGTCCCTTTCACAAAGAAATCCCTCATGGATTCTCAAAAGTGTCAGTGTTTTTGCTTGCAAGAATGTATGAGATATCATGAGAGGGCAAAAAAGGCAGAGGGAGGACTTAGTCTTTAATTGTTTATTTATTTTTGGATCTACTTTTTATCAATGTGATGTTAATGAAGGGACATTGCAAAATCCATTTTCTCAAGCATGCTTTGGTACTTGTTTTTGAACCCTCGGGTTTTGTTTTGTTTTGCCAAGGGTGGCAAAGATGGGTATGGGTTTAAATTTATATTCCCCCTGCACTCAAAGGTATAGATATTTGATTGAAGACTTAGGATGTGATTGCTACAGAGGGAAGGGAACACAATTGAACAGGACCAATTGTTATAGGTCTTCCTGGTCTAATAGAACAGTGAGATGCCAGCTATTAGAGAAGCTAATTCTGAACTTGTGTTTCCTTTTGACACTGTAATGCAACAATAAGAATTTAATATCTCCTTATTCATGCATGTGATGCCATTTTAAATGAATAACTATTTGAACTTCTGTTGATTACTACAATACAAAACTGCTGCAAGTGAAAATCTTGCCTGATTTCCTAAGATCTAGGTGTCTTAATTAATTCAAAATATATTGAGAGATTTAAGTGAAAATAAAGGACAGTGCTGAAGGTCCTTAGTGAATAAACAGTGACAAATATCAAATTAAAATTCCCTTTGAAGCAGATGTACTTGAATGCACGGTTTGAAGGAAGAGGAAGAGGCATTTGAATGTGGTGGCTAGGTGATAATACATTTGGTTCTGCTGTATCTGTCTCAATTTGCACTTCTTCTCTTCCTCTATCCATATCAACAACCAACAGGTTTGTGGCAATAAAGGTCAATATTTTTTTTAAAAAACCAAAATATATTGAAGTAACTTGACTGTTGCTTAGCGTCAATGTTTATCTTTCCATGACTAGAGCTCTGTTCTGCAGAAAAGAGACCACTGGATACACTATAGAAAACATACATGCCTCTTTCTGTGTAAACTGAGCTGCTGTTAAACCTGGAGTTGAACCTCATATCATATTAGTTTGCAGATACAGCCTTTTGAGTGGCCTTTCACAACATTACATGGCAAATGCTTAATAATAAAACTCTTGATAATGAATCAGCCAGAAAGAATACAAGTAATTTTTCAGATTGTTGACAAACTCATTTTCTTCATCTCTTAAGTATAATTTGACAAGGAATAAATTAAGGGACTTTGAAAAATTGTATATTATAATAGGTTGAGCTTTTTTAATTAAAGAGATATTCCTGTAAATGTGTTTTTTCAGCATTCCCTGCTGGATAATACATGCTAGCAAAGAGAGTGAATTGTAAGTATATAGGTAAAGGTAATGAATAGGCTTGCAGAAACAAAATTGGAGATGTCTTTTGTGATCTCCCCAAGAATTGGATTTACCTTCTGGAATATGTTGTAATTTTTGGTCTGCAGAGTTTGTGTACCACCAGAAAACACTGGCAGCAAAGGCTTTGCATTTTCCTATAGGTGTCTTACCTTTCTGGATACTGTTTTAGGAATCTCCCTTTTATTTTTCCTACTATTGCCTCACTTTAAATGAGAATTTCCAGAGTGAAAAATTCCCCCCATTTTAAGTGAAAAATCTCTGATTTTAAAGATGTCTCCATAGTAACAAACAGGTTTTTTTTCCCGCCCCACCCTTTCCATCTTTCTCCAGGAAGTGATTCTGTATTGTGTGAAAGACAAGGTCTGTGATGTAAATCACTGTGACAAGTCTGGCTGTTATATTGTAAAGCGACTTTAGTCATGTTTATTCTTTTAGTAATTTTCTTTGCTGGCTTGAACTGAGGATGTACACAGAATACTGTGCAGAGCCATATTTAGGAATATGGACATGGAAACGGTCTAGTTAAAACGTCACTGGAGACTATTAAGTGGAGCTGCTTGTGTGTCTGTTGATCTTATTTCACTTTCTTATCTTTGAATCACTATTTTAAATACATTTTTGTTTGCATTACATATGTTTTGAAAATGAAGAAAGAATGGATATTTTTTAAAACATAAATAAACCTAACTTATTAAATGCTAAATACTACATTTGTTGTGCTCCATTTAGCTCATTCTAAAATTACCTCTCTAGAGCCTCTATCAGAATGAGTATTTATTAACACAAAAACATATATTAGGAAATAATTATTTGTTATTTACTGATTTGACACAGGCATGTACTCTATATGATAAGTATTTTATAGCTTTTGGATTGTGAAAATTCTGATGAAAATATAAATGGGTCAGAAAGATATAATAATTATAATTTCTAAGCAAGCTTTTAACGTTTTGTTCCGGGCTCCTATTTTCATATTCAGACTAGTCATGCGCTATCAATCACATTTTTGAAATTCAGCAGACAAGGTTGAAATCTCTATGAATTAAGTAAATCATAATTAAATAGTGTATTTAATTAATTAATCATAAAAGTCTATATTGTTATGTTTTGTGGTGAATGATGTTGGATAAAATCCACTGGGAACTTGATAAAGTTCAATGGTGAGAAGCTGTATGCAGAATGGGTGCTGTCTTTCAGGAACTATTGTGCAGATTAAATGAATGATTTTAAACAAGGAAAAATCTGACAAATTTCTCTTTTACACATATTTATTATTACATTTGTTTATTAATATAGGCAAATATATTGTATATTGATTAATGCCAACTAGTTCTAAGACTTATACCACAATACTAATGAAGAAGACAAATAACAGCTCCCAAAAGAAACCAGCATGGCTGCATAAAGAACTCTCTGACAAATTGAAAGACAAAAAAGTTAAGTATAACAAGTAGAAATGGAGGGGACATAACTAAGGCAGAATATCAGCAAAAATGTAAAGATGAAGTAAGGAAAGCTGAAGCTCACAATGAAGAAAGGCTTGCCACAAAAGTAAAAAATAACAAAAAAAA